CAACTACTTAAAAAAATGTATTTATATAACTTTTCCAAATTAATAGTTTCGAATGATTTGAGATTTGAACTCCTCTAGACTAAGACGAGGCGCAATTAAAACTATCTATTTTGCAAAGTTTTTTTATTTCAACCTCCAGAAAGTCTTTTGAAAAATTTTAAATACTTGTTTTCATGCAAAAACAAAGAAAATTATATTTTCTCGAAGAACCGAATTCCGTTCAAATAATCATTTTTTAAAGTAAAATTTATTTTCCGGCTATTGGAAGCAGAACTCTTTTTTTTTCTTCAAAAAATAGAATGATTGTTATTTTTTGTGGTTAAGGCATATCATAATTAGAAGTTTTGATTCAAATCTTGGTGGGTAATTTTTGATTGAGGTTTAAGAAACTAACAAGAGCATTAACACCTCTGCTTCTCTTCATCGGGTTTCGAGCTAAACTCAAAAAACAACCATGAAATTGGTTTCCTAGTAATTTTTATCAAAAGCGTTTGTCAAACATTTATCAAAAGCCTAACACTTCCCGACAAGATTTTACCCCTGATTGTAGAAATATAACTTCAAATTGAAATCTTTTTCCAGGCTTCGCAAAATTGGAACATCAAGTTGACTTTTATTTTGTGAATATTTTTCCTAAATTTTTAATGGTTTTTACTACTCCATATTTGATGACAATGCTTTTTGACAGACAAGCTTTTCATTTGACAGATTTTTTCATTTAATGAAAAGCCTGCAACTCAAAAATATGCCGCATTATAATTTCAAAGCAGAGAAATCCTCAACGACCTATTTGTCAACTGAAAAATTGAGTAGATTGATGACAATTACATTAACCCAATGTAAAGTTTTTAAAAAAAAATTAGTTGAAAGAATAAAATTGCTGCGTACAATCAGAAAAAAGCAGAATGTAAATTTTGACTTACTTTTATGCGGGAGGCAAATGACGCATCGAAGAAAAAACTTAGTAGTCAAATAAATTTGATGCGCTGAAAGAAAATATTTAACTCCCAAATAGTCAATTTTTGATTATTGAAAGAATCTCAAAAACGTTGATGAGACTTTTTTAAAATTTGATCTGGCACAGATTAACAAAACAAATTAATTTTATAATTTATTGCCAGGTTGAAATTTTTTTAGTGAACATAACGAGGCCAAACTGTACATTCTGTGTATTGTAAGCGAATTCCGCAACAGGCTAAAATCAGATTAATCGCGGAATCCGCAACTTTGCTACTTTTTTTGATCTTCTTCGCTGTTTTGGATTCCACGAACAAATACCTAAAACACTGTACCGCTCAAAATTGGTCCAAAAATAGGCGATTTTTGGGAAAACCGCAACCGTATCTGCGGAATCCAGAACATTTTGTGGAATCCACAAACAAAAAATAAGACATAGTTAAACTGAGCTTTTGCGGATTCCGCAACTGTAAGCGGCATTCGCAAATTGTAAATGAAAACCGCATTTTGTTTAAATTGTAACATAACGTTTAAAATTATATCTTAATTTTACTAGATGGTCACCAGAAAAATCAATCTCAATTACTACATTGATCAACTACCAGTTGAAATACCAAACATTTGGTCCCAATTCCTGTCAACCCAACTTCGGTCTCAAATCCAGTCAATTTCGATCTCAAATTCAATCTCAAACCCTGTCAACTTCGATCGCAATTCACTTGAATTGGAATCTACCAGATCATCAGTATTTGGGATTAATGGAAACCCAAATACTCACCACTATTTGGGATTTATGCAATCCCATATACTGACCTAAATTGGCGATATGCTGTGTGTTGTATTTCCATGCACTCTCAACCCAATGACTCCAAATATTGATATTATTCGGTGTTGTGTTTCCAAAATACTAAAAGGTGGCATCCACTGATCTAGTTAACAAATGCTTTGAGATTTGTTTGTGGGTTCCGCTGACAAGTCATTGCCCTTAAATTGTCCGCTATACATAAGAATTCCAGCTCTAGGTTTTAATTGTTCATATGCAAGTTCAGTAATAAACAAAATTCTGAATCCTTTTACAAATTGCGGAATCCGCTTACATTTGCGGATTCCACTTACAAGTTTTGCGGATTCCACTTACATTTGCGGATTCCATTTACATTCTGTGGAATGCACTTACAGTTGCGGAATCCAGAACAACTAGCTATATTTGCTTGTAGTATTCGTACGCGGAATCCACGGAAATCTAGTGCACAGTTTGGCCTCGTAATGAGTTTTCACGTGCTCATTACCTACATAGATATATCTTTTTTCGAAACTTGATAATTTCAAATACTTGACTTTTGAACTCCTCGAGAACAAGACGAGGCGCAAAAAAACTTTCCATTTAGCAAAAGTTTCTTTTATCTAGTCGCCCGAAGTTAACTGTTTTCAGATACGTCTTTTGAAAATTTAAAAATTTATTTCTTTGCAAAATAAAAAAAAAATTGGTCTCAAAGAACCAAATTCCGTTCAAACAATTAATTTTCGAAGAAAAAAATTCTGATTCTCGCTATTGGAAGCAAATACGTTTTTCGGTTGTCAAAAACGTTTAAAGTAAAATGATTCTTAATATTTGTGGTTAAAAACTCTGCTTCTTTTCATTGGATATGGAGATTAACTCGAAAAACAATTAAAAAAATTGGGTTCTTGGTAAAAAAAAATCAAGCAACCTTTATCAAAGACCGATAAGCTTAATTGTGAAAGTATAAACTTCAAACTTAAATTTGCCTTTATACTTCAAGACATTTGACTTTTATTTTTGAATGATTTTTATAAAATTTTACTGGGTTGAACTACTTAATATTTCATGTAATGTAAAGTTCCCTGAGAATGAAAAACTTAGAGCTCTAAAATTTTAACTCAAACTAAACTAAATGAGAAGCATGCAACTCAAATGTATGCCTCAGTATAAATTTGAAAAAAAAATAGTTTTCCTTAACTAACTAATTGAAAATTTTTTGAAAAACAGGAAAAATTGATTACAAGTGCTTTCCTTCAAGTTGAATTTGAAAAAAAAAACAGAAAAAAACGAAATTGCTTTAAATATCTCAAAAAGGCATATTGTATTATTTGCTTTATTGTTTGCCTGAGACAAATGACTTCTTAAGGAAATGGCTCAGGAATTAAATATGTTTTTTGAAAACAACTCCGAAACCCAAATAGCCATTTTCAAAATTGAAGTAAGCTCAAAACCGATGAGATTGTTTTAGAGTTTGTTTTGGAAAAAATCATAAGAAAATATTTTGCTTTATTGAATTATAACCACGGTGAATCTTTCTTTTTGAGTGAAACTTAACGTGCTCATGGGTCATTACTTACACACACTCACACCCACACACCTACACATATTTTGAAGTTAAAATTTTGAAAAACTCATTTGCTTTCATTAGCAACGCAAACAGTTTTTGTCTTCAACCACCAAACTCGGATCAATCAACTAGTTTTGGAAAAATTCTAGTTTTGACTATTGCAGTCAAAAATTTATGTTTCTGTTTTTGAAGGATAGTGACCAAAAAAGTTGAAAGATAGTCGCCAATTCCAATAAAATTAGTCGAACTCGAATTGTTGCTAGTAATGACTTCAACTTGAGAACTGCTTAAACGGGGACCTACTTTGCTTTGGCCTATCCAAAGCCAGACGTTTATTAAATTTTGAGCAAAATTCTGAGTGATTTTCAGATGTCTTTGTAACTGCAGAAGACATTCAGGATGTACCCATGAATGTATGAATTTAAACGCTATCTCAAACTCAGCTGCCGTTGACAATGTGTCCGTTAAAGACTGATTGGTTTCATTTGCACATAAAGATCTAGCAGTTTGGCAGGTAAGGTGAGCCTTTATTAGTCATTTACTCCCAAATTCTTTACAATTTTGTTTTAATCCTTATGATAGCTAATGATACTAATGATACTAATACGAGCATCAAAAACATAGGGGGGCATAGGATACGAGGGAAGCGCTCCCACACTGGTTTCTCTCGGATGTCTCTCATAGAATTGGTCATTTGTATTATTATTTTTTTTACTAGTCCAGAAATCTTGTTGCTTCTTTTCTTTTCTCTATTTTGGAGTGTGGTATTCTATTGATCAATTTGTTGCGCTGTCGGGCTCAGTGTTGTTTGTTACAAATTTGTTTTTCCTCTTTTCAACTTTGTTAAATGGCTGTTTTTTTTTTCAACTCGGATCCCAGTGGAACATTGGGTGAAAGGGTTGTTTGAATTTAGTCCTCCATGTAGAAATAACTTCCACTGATTCTAATGTGAGTGAACTTTGAGGATTTTGTTCCAGAAAGCACTCAAGAAAACTGTTTCTTCTTTACTCATTTGTTACGGTTCCATATTGTTGCATATTTGATGATTTCATGTCGGGATCTGTGATTGACCTATGGCTCTAATCTTTTTGAAGATAAATGTTGAAACCGCCCGCTAGACAGTCTAGGGCGGAAATCTAGTAATCTAACCACCATTCTGACCGATTTAATCCAATGTGTTTTTGTCATCTTAATTATTGATGATGAACACAAAACATCGAAACATTATATCAGTCCCCTAATAGGCTATAGGGAGGAGGATTTTAGTGCGGTTCTTATTTGGAGTTTTTGTGAAAATATGAAAAATTTCGTTTTCAAGAAGGGAACAGACTCGATTGATATTTACACAGCTCATAACAAGAAAAGCTTCCATCATGAAAGAACATCAAAAAATTTTCAGCCAACCAGAGTCGATTATTTTGTAAGCCACGCTAAGCAGTTTAGATCCAATTGAAGTTCTGGGGAGGAGAATTTTAACTGTTCTATTTATCGGCTTTGAGCTCACTTGATCCCATGTGCCTTTTCTAAATCATTTTTTTTATTTGACACCAATATCTGCTGGAATTATTGTTTGACATCAAATTCAATTAATTAACTAACGCATCATAATGCAATGAATACTACCAGGTGATAACCTTTTCAAATACAAAGATTTACTCAGAAATTTGTTGACGACAAACACTTATGCAAATAATACTGAACTTTGCAAATTTGGTCTTTTCTCTTCAATGATCTTTTACGAACGAAATGCTCCGTCATAATTTTTCTTGGAAGTTTCTTAGAATTCATACTTTTTCACAATGTTTCCTGTGTGAGTACCAATTTCATGGTTCGTTTAAAAAAATCAAATTGAAATTGTTTTTCTGTTTATATCATTTTGTAAAATCATGGAGTTTGGCATTTTCAATATGTTTTTGCATCTATTTTTTTTGTTTTTTTTTTTAAATTTCTCTACAACTTTATGAATGTTTCAGTTATGTTAGCGGTACGGAATGTTGTCGCTTCGCCGAGTGAGTCTCTTCACATAGTTTTGCCCGAGAGCGAGTACCCTCCTGGCAAACAATGTGCAAAACTCAGGTAGGAAAATTTTGTAAATTCGGCTTTTTTTTCAAGGGATTCGTTGTTCGACTGAGGTTATTTTTGTCTTAAATCAGAATGTTGGAAAATTATTTCACATTCAAAGATTTTTTTATGACCGATTTCTTGATTTTTTATTATTACTTTTTAAAAAATCCAACCCAGCTATTGGCACTGGTAGATTTATCTGTTAACCTTGATCGACTCATGTATCGGCTTCGGTCAGTTCTTTTATCAAGCTTGGTAGGCCTATGAGTCGCACTATAATGAACATTTTTCGAGCAAAGTTTTTATCAACCTATAAAATTTGGGTCGAAAAAGAAGATTGGTCGATCCATACTGTTGACCCATCCACTCGGACTTCCGTATTTCAGCTATGCTTACTGCATCAGCAGCTATTCGCTATTGGGCGAGAGAAAAAAACGTCATCCTCATTGGGCTGACTTGCCAAAGTTTGCTGCGCTCCTTCAATATAACGAAACTTGGAAAAAAATCAACTGGTTTTCCTTTCAACCATCAGGTTAATACCTTGTCTTACCTTGAAAATTTTCAATGAGTGCCCGGGTTGACATCCATAGAAAAAAATTATTATCATACAACTCCATGCAAAAAAGTGGTTATCATACAAATCCATGTATGGGTTCAATAGAAAAATAGTTATCATAGGATATCCATTTATGAAAATCGAATGATACTGTTTTTTCCAATAAATTATTTTTTTTCTGAAAAAACCTTTAAAAAAGTTTTTTTTGGTAAGTTTCAATGAGCTTAAATCATTTTCTAATTAAGTTCGATCAAATTGGTCAATTTTGAAAAAAACCGTTGACCATACGATTTCTATTCTATAAAAATGGTATGATAATTAGATTTTTTTTCATAAGCAACCTTTTTGATCGAAAACTGTTTAAAAAACTATTTAGGCAAGCTCAAATGAGCTTAATTTTTTTTTCTAGTAATTGAAATCATTTTGATCATCAAATTGTTGATCATCGAAAAATGCTTATCATACGGTTTCCATTTTATGAAAACGGTATGAAATGCATTTTTTTCATGACTACAATTTTGTTCAGAAACTCTTCAAAAAGTTATAGGCTAGTTCAGATGAGCTGGAGTTGGTTTAAGAGTAAATGAAATCATAATGATCATCAAAATTGTTGTTTATTTTTGTTTATAAATGATAAAAAAAATAGTTTGTCAGAATATTGCTTGTTTATGCTTTTGGGATTAAATTTTCTGATTGAAACTCAAATTCTTAAAACTAATATTGCTCTTATTGATTTTTGAGGCAGAAATGTAGGTCGAGGCTTAAGAAACTAGACGACAAGGAAATTAGACGTGATCAGAAAAACTGAATTTAAAACTACAATTATGGGAAATTAGATAAATTTATACAAAGATTATACATTTCAAAAATTGTTTATACTATTTGGGTTATTGTTTTATAAATCATTTATATTAAAAAGTATGCAATGGGATTATCTACTTTTTTAATGTTTGTGAAATATTTTTTCAAGCATTAAAAATTGTTAGCTTTTTGCTTTCCGTCTAAAATGCTAGTTTTGCAAAAAAAATTTGTTAAAATGCTAGTTTTTCAAAAAAAAACTTATTTCCATTTGTTTGAGCCGTCCAATTTGCTGAAGTATCTTTAGGAGGTAAATTGGTTAAAATTTAAACCTTCGAATAAAAGATAAAATATGGAGAACATCGTAATGCTTTTCATGAAATGTTTCAAAGTTTACATCTTCCATTCGATAAAAGCTAGACCAACAAATGGGCTCACAAAGCATTTTTTAATCTCTAAAATGATACATTTTTTTAAAATCATGTAAAAACTTGTTATATTAAAACTTTTTTGGCAATTATGCAAGTTTTTGCCTTCCAAAAGCAAAAGTGTATGAAAAAAAACTTTTTTGTCAAAAGCAGAAGTTTCAATCATGACAAGCACAAACTGTCTAAAGCGAAATGAGTAAAACCTCGATAACTTTACTTCTGTTTTCCATAAAATCTCGAAAAGTTTACTTTTCTGTTTTCCAACGATCTTGAATTTGTTAGTGTTCAACATTTTATTAAGTAAAATCTCCATTACGGGACCAAAGTGTGCAGTGGATAGGCGCATAACTTTGTTGCTGTATGTTCCTGGATTTCCAGAGACAGGTCTGAAAACATGTTTAAAATTTGTCAAAACGATCATAGAGAATGAAAGAACAAAAGAAGAAGAAAAGGAGCGTCCTTGTTGCGGAATCCGCTCACAATTCACAAAATGCACAGTTTGGCCTCGTAATGTCAAATACTTGTATAAGAAAAAAATAGGATTAATTGCCCGGGTTGACCGAAATTTCCTATGATACAATTTCCATATACGTAAAACTTCTTATCGATAGGTACAGAAATTTTTATAAAATCTCTATGATAAGCGTTTTTCCCTATATGGAAATTGTATGATAAATTTTTTTTCCATAAACCAAAAAGTTGATTTTTTTTCTAATTTTATTTTCTGAAAAATTTTGGATTGTGTTCGTAAACGAACGCAAGTGATAAAAAAATTGTTTACTCCAAGCACCAAGTATTGGACGGTCTTGAATTTACAATGAATAGAAAACGAACTGAATTGTCGAACAGCTGTCTTTCACAATTGATATAACCAAAGTAACAAACTTTTAAATTTTGGCAAACTGTTTCAACGATGATTAAGTTCAAGATTTAAGATTTGAATTTTCAAATTATCCAACATTGATCAACGCATACATAAACATGCCAAACAAACAAAATAAACATTTCAAACAACCGATGATAAAAGCTATTAAAGGAAAAAGAAAAAAAAAAACAACATTAGTGTATCCAGGACTAAAAAAAAAAAAAAAAAAGCTTTTGGGCAATTTGAAAAAAATGTTCCTTTAGGAATTCTAAGACTAATTTAGACATTCTAAAATGCGTGTAAAACATTTTTGTGATATTTTAGACATTTTAAAATGCGTGGAAAACATTTTTGTGACCTTTTTTCAAACAAAATTTACAAACAATTAAAAGGAATAATTTCTATAATTGCGAAAAATATTCTGACCAAAAATATTCTGACGAAATTTTTTTTCCATTTTGACCAACGTGCTTTTTTGGCGTGCTATCCTTTCTCAAAACTCAAAATTATTGTATTTATGTGTTTGTATTTATGTCAAAAATATATGCCTTAAGTACCAAATAGGAGAGCTTTTGAGAGGCCAGGGTGATTCCGGAGGGCTAAGAACGTCCCCTCCCAATACGCTACTGGTCAGTGTCGATCAAAGTTTTAAAATTTCATGAACCGTTTTCAATTTTTTTTGCAAAATTGTAAAAATACAAATTCTAGAAATAATAAACTCGCATAAAAAACCTTTTACAGGAAGTTGTTGCCGAGAACAAGTCGATGAATATGAAAAACATGGACGCTACAATGGGATATCTCCGGATTTATATATAAAGAAAGTGACAAACTTTTCTACAGCTGGAAAAAATTTGACCCATATACAGGTAATTATACACAAATTATGGTTTTGAAATTGTTTTTGGTTGCTTTTCAAGTCATAGACAGTTTAGAAAGTTTCAAGGCTTTTTTAAGTAAAAAACTTAAGCTACAGACTATTTTGACTAGTTGCCTCATCAAAAAATTCTTTTTTGGTAAGAGCTTGAACTTTATGTCAATGTTTGAAACGTTCATCTAATCGACCAAAAATTTTGTCCTTTTAATTCTAAGCCAATCACATTTCAATTCATATATTTTGCTTAAAATAAACAAAACTATTAATTTTATCAGTAAATTTGCTTAGGCAAGATATGACTGCATTAGAGATCGTAACATAATTGTGGCTCTGGGTTTTGGATGGGGAGCGCCACTACAGCGCTTGGGAACCACAAAACAAAATGTACCCTATCAAATACTTACGAAAGTGCCGTTAGTTTTTTGGAAGTCGCATAGAGTATCCGATATTTATACTTACAATTATGAAACTGTTGCTGAAAAATTGACTTTCCACTTCTTCAAAACTACACTCATGTGCCTCGAACATCCGTGGATTTGCGACAAGTATCCTTAGCAAAAAGAAATTACTCTTACTGCTAATCTGAATTGATCTAAATAATTTATCTTCAGTTTCTTATGATAAGTAGTTTACGCGTCAATGCTGCAGACAAATCTCTCTCAGATATCAAATTGAAACGTCAGGAAAACAAGACTGTTTGTGAAATTTGAAAAACACCTGATTAGTGCGACTTCAACTTGAAGCCGCAGACAAATTTTTGCTCCAAAAATCGATTAATTATATTACGATTTTTTCTTATCTCCTTTTATTTCGCAAGACTAGCAGTACAAACTAGATCTATTGAGACTTGGAAATATAGGAGTTAGATTGGGATTGGTATGAGACTAAAAAGTTGCACGAATTTATCTGACCGAAAATAAGATAGCGTGACGAACAGACGGTGGACCGTATCCAAAGTTACTCCATGAAAAGGCCACTCCGGAGCTAAACTTTTTCAATTGACCAAAAAGAGGAACGTAAAAACGGCGAAACTATCTGTGCTTCTAGCAGAGCAGCCGGGTATACTCTATTTATGTTTCATTTGTTGAATGTCTAAGAAAAATCGAAAAATTCAAGAACCTAAAACCACTGTTGGTTTGTGATTGATCTAATTAGCCTTCACGTTAACTCTGCAAAGATCAAAAACTCTGGAAAGAGTAGGAATTGTATTTTTTGAGTCAATGTTTCAATTAGGTCAATTAAATACTTTTTGAAAATTGTCAAGAACGGTATTTTTATACAAGGTCACAAAAACTTTCCAAAATGTTTTCTTTCCATATTCAATGGCAGTTTGCTCTCATTTGTTGAGAAACTGGTATCAACTCATTTGAAGTTTCCAACAACCGATTTTCAAAAATTTTCCGAAAAAAAGTATTCTTTTTGGCATATATTTTTCATATGTTGAAACTGTATGGTAAGCATGTTTTTCAAAAAAAATTAAAGCCAGTTTTTTCCGTTACCAGTCTGTTCAATTTTTCTTAAAATGCCGCAGAAATTGTTTAATTTTTAATTTCTATTGTTTTTAGAAAAAGTATGAAAATTGTATGACAAGCATTTTCTCCATACGCTTGATGTTGGAATTGTAGGATAAGGATTTTTGTTGTATGGAATTGTATGATAAACATTTTCGGTGTATGGAGGTCAAACCGCGTATTTTGCAAAAATTGAGAAAAAAAATGAAATTTTTTGTTACGATCTTGTTTTCTTTTTATCCCTCCCCAAACTATGTAAATTAAGGAATGATGTATTTAGGGTCTCGTTTTGTTTGAAAAAGACCATATATTTTTTGCGTTGATTAATACAAAACTAGCATTTTTGCAACCCTTGTAAGACAAACACCGAGCTTATTTTATCTTCATCTTCGGAAACGACACACAAAGGAAAAATGTTGAGAAAAACTTTGATAATA